TTTTACCAGAGAGAAAAAAAAATCAAACCTCTGGCAACAAATTGCTCTGCACCTGCCATTGAAGTGCATGTTCTAGATGAACCATGACCAAAGGAATTGAGAAGCAGTCAAAGGGAATTTTCTCCGTGAACTCTTCAGAAGTTTGTCAGAATTTTTAAGTATTGGAAAACAGAGTTTGCTAATGGGGACTGTTATGATGGTTTAATAGCAGTTAGTGCTACCAGCCATGCCTGTAAGAAAGGTTGGATGAGTTAGTTACCCTATAATGATGGGGGCTTGACTCTGGCTGGGTGTCAAGTGCCCACCAAAGCCACTCTGTCACTGCCTCCTCAGCTGGATGGGGAGACAAAACACAGTGAAACATTTGTGGGTTGGGATAAGGACAGGGAGAGATCAGTCACCAGGTACTGACACAGTTTATTACCAATCAAATCAGGATAGGATAATGAGAAATAAAAACTGAATCTGAAAACACCTTCTCCTCACCCCTCCCTTCTTCCTGGGCTCTCCTTTACTCCCAACTTTCTCTACCTCCTCCCCTGAGCAGTGCAGGGGGATGTGGGATGGGGGCTGTGGTCAGTTCATCCCATCTTGTCTCTGCTGCTGCTTCCTCCTCAGTGGGAGGACTCCTCACACTCTTCCCCTGCTCCTGTGTGGGGTCCCTCCCACGGGATGCAGTCAGTCCTTCAGGAACAAGCTGCTCCAGAGTGGGTCCCTTCCATGGGGTCAGTCCTTAGGAACAGGCTGCTCCAGAGTGGGTCCCTTCCATGGGGTCCCAAGTCCTGCCAGCAAACCTGTTCTAGTGTGGGCTCCTCTCTCCATGGGGCCACAGGTCCTGCCAGGAGCTGCTCCAGCATGGGCTTCCCATGGGGTCACAGCCTCCTTTGGGCACCCCCTGCTCCAGTGGGGCTCCTCCAGGGCTGCAGGGGGTCTCTGATCCATCAGGACCCCCATGTGCTGCAGGGCACAGCTGCCTCTCCAGGGGCTGCACCTCAGCCCCTGTGCCTGGAGCCCTTCCTGCTGCACTGCCCCGGCGTCTGCAGAGCTGTTCCTCTCACATTCTCACTTCTCTTTCCCTGCTGCAGTTTCATGGGGGTTTTTCCCCTCCTTTGTCAGTGTTACCCCAGAGGAGTCACTGCCACCATCCCTGCTGGGCTCGGCCTTGGCTGGTGGTGGCTCTGTCCTGGCCCTGCCTGGCACTGTCTCTTCAGGACACGGGGGAAGCTTCTGGCAGCTGCTCACAGAAGGCACCCCTGTAGTCCCCCCTCCCCCCAAAACCTGGCCATGCAAAACAAGTGAGCTTCCAGATTTGACCTTTAGTTTATGCTTCTGCCAGTGTCTACCATCCCTTTACTTTAGTTTTCTCTGTTAAAAAGTGTCTTTGATTGTTTGAGGCATCTCAGATGGCATTTTAGCATTGCCTGTTTTGTTTATAAGAAGTCTTCTGGATTAATAATTGGAAATAAAATTGAATTTATTTCAGATTTTGCAAATTTAAATCTCAACTTGAAGGTCATACTCTGTTAAAATTGAGTTTTACATCATACTTAGTGAAGCCATGTACTGGAAGACATGTAAAGAAATGTTGTGTGTTGTGATAAACTTGGCCCTGCTTTTGTGTTAATGTTTGTTCAAATGCTGGTGGGGTATTTTCTTTTCTTCCTTTTGTGGTTGAAAGTGCCCAAGTTTATTGACAGGACTGATCATGACAAAAGTGAGCTCTCTTGCTTTGTAGAGCAGAGACAGTGCTGCTGGTAGCCAGAGTGTTCCTCAGTGCTGGTTCTACAGTACAAAACACAAGTGCATCACAAACCTGTTTCCAAGGATTTACAGACTAACCTCTGGCAATTTAAATTGTCTTGGTTTGACAAAGCTGTGAATGCACAATACAATCTCTAAAACTGGTGTAGTCCTGCCTTGGCAGTGACAAATAATCCTTGGCTGTTCTGATGATTTTCTCTACATTCATGTGACTTGCTTTTTCAAATGCAGCCTCGTGTGTTCCTTCAAACACAGAGGCAACTTCTTTGTGCATGGCAGGTACAAGGGATTCACTGCCAAGCTTTGCCTCTATTCATGTGTCCCGAGCTCTGGGGAGGAGGAATGTTATTTAGGGAGTGAATTTCCAGGCCCCAGAGTGTTTGCACACTGAACAATTCCAGAGTGCTCTGCCCCATGGCAGTGACTTGTTGCACCCTGACACTGGAGTCACTTGTCCAGGTGTGAACCACATCCCTTCTGAAACCCTGCTGTGCTGCACTTTGAATTTCTGAGCTCTGTATGACAGAGCCAGCTCAGGTCTGTGTGTAACAGCATCCTCCAGTGTCCCCATGGAGATGAGGAGTGGGTTTTATCTATCTATCTATCTATCTATCTATCTATCTATCTATCTATCTATCTATCTATCTATCTATATATTTCCTGTGTACATTCATGTTCTACTCTCCTGCCCGTTGATGTCTGAGCACAGGGCAAAAGCCTCTCTAACATTACATTTGTGTATTTAGGAAATGTAAAAATATCTGATGTCTAATAAAAAATAATAGGTACATTTGAAAATGTGTTTCTTTCTAACCCTCTTGGTAATTTTGGAATTTAATAGCATCCTACCAAACCTCAGCAGTTTTTCTTTAAGGAACATCATAAATTCTTTTATATTGTTCCAGTGGGAGCTTGACACATTGGGTTATGTTTTTTTTTTTTTTTAATGTAATGCTGATAATTTTTGTTTTCTTTTTGATGGATTCCTCATGAGATCTGTTTACAGCTTTCCTTTCATACAAAACACAGCTTTTTGTTTCTAAATATTTTTTACCTGTTTTTCTTGAAGCATTTGTGTTGGGAGTCCTTAGAGTGTCTTCTGGCAACTTGTAGCTGTCATTTGAAGATCATTTCCATGATACTTAAGAATTTCTCCAGGCTGGTTCCTTGTTCTGTTTCTCATCCCCTCGTTTCATACTTACCTTTTTAACACTCATGAGTTTTGGAACCACGTTAGTAAACTATTGCATTACTTTGTTTGCAGTTCTCTGGTAGTGAGGCTTTTTCTTCATATCCAACACGATAGATTTTACTGCCAAAAGGCTTTTGTCACTATTGATTTTTAAAATTGGGGGTGAATTTAGTCTTCAAGTTGCACAGTTTGCTGTGGTCTGGCACAGTGGAACACATACTTAGTTTGATAATATTATGATAGTGCAATTTTATATTTTAATTATGTGCAGTGCAGTTTTCTAGTATGTTCCTCTGATGAACTGTGGGCATTTATTAGCTGAGAAAAAATTCTCTAGCTCGCAGCCTCACAATGTGGTTGTGGATTTCTGACTGCACATCTTGCCTGGAACTGAGCAGCTGCCAGAAGTGTTCCTGGTTATCTGCTAGTTTTGTAAATCCTCACCTCTGGAAGAACATATTGATATGAAAGGGGGCAAATACCACAGGTCTACTGTATTTTTAGGTTGGAAACACTGGTTATAAGCAAATGAACAAGGTACACAATATTCATATTTATCAGGTAAATATAGTTTCATCCTACCAGTATTTTGAAATTAAAACAAGTGGTTATTTTTACAATGGAGAGAAGAGGTGGGGGTATTTAAAACAGGAAAAGCTTATGTGATCCATCTTCCAAAAAACCAGACAATTCTTTCTCTTCGGGCTGATGCTGTTTATTGCCTCTAGGCTGTCTCAGTGTGGAAGGCATCCCTAGCCAAGATTTTAAAAATCTTGAAAGCTTTACATACAACAAAAAAAAAAAAGGTTTTGTTCAGATGTCAGGTAGATTTATTTGGTTTGGGTTTTTTCCTCCTTTTTTTCCCCAAGTACAGAAGATTGATATCCAGTAGAGGATGTTGCTGGACTGATTTGTAAGGAATGCTTGGGGCTTTGAATGCCTGCCTGGGCCTCTGGTGCTTTTGGAGATCTTAGATGTTCTGTGAAGAAGTATTTTATGTAGGTTTAGTAGGCAGTGTAAGAATCTAAAATAAGTATTTCTTTATAAAAATATTAATTATAGAGACATGCAAATTAAAATGTAAATCAAGGAAAATTAGTTTTATCTTGTTAGAAACAATATTGTCCGTGATTTATTACTCCATCCACTTAGAAAATTTGTCTTTTCTAAGTGTGTGTTTGAATGTAAATCTTAATAAATGCAAGTTATAAGACACCAGTGTGGTCTCCCTTTTTAATAATGAGTGGTTCTTTGTCATTGTTGCCATATTGTGTGATGTATTTCTTTCATAATGGTATTTACATTCCTGTAGAATAAAATAACTTTTCTTGAGTCATTTTTTATTTCTAAATCTTGTCCTTTTATGTGATTAAAAGAAATTTAAAAATAATTCATATGTTTGCTGCATGAGATAATTTCCTGAGTTGTAGAGTCTGGTACTGAGTGAAAGCCTGTAAAGTCAGTCATTTTCCTTTGTCTGCACTTCACATTCCAGTCGCTGTCTGGTTATGGAGCGTTTGTTCTCTGACAAAGGTTCTCCAAATGCTTACACTTCATTTCTGTGCAAGTTAGTTTCTATATAATTCAATGTGAAATTATTTTCAAGATCTTTTTCTGCTCTCTGAATTTTCTCTCCATATTAATTTTCTTCAAGAAAAAGCACTGGAACAGGCCAGTAAATACCATGGGGACCAATACGTGGTACTGGCAATGATGAACTCAAATATTGATGAATACTGACTTGTAAATATGACAACTGAACTAATGCATCAATTTTTTGCAGGTCACATCTGGTTTTTTCTAATCTTTTCCTTATAGCTGTGTGAGCAATAGCTTTTAGGAGAAATACTAAAAACTTATTGAATGTAAGAGCTCATTTCTCCATTATTTGTGACCATATATTTAAGAGCACATTGCTGGGTTTGGATTTTGGTGTTCTTTTCAGCGCTAATAATGATTGTTCTTATAATCCCTCTTATTAAAGAGCCTTGGAGATCAAGCTACCGAGCAGAGGGAATAAAACAAACTGCTGTTTCTCCTCTCCCAGCAGCCCACGTCCGTGGCCGCGCCCGCCGTGCGCCTGGGGCTGCTGCGTGCGGCCAAGTGGTCCACACCGCCTGCGCCCGCAGCGCCGCGCACGGCTGCAGGGGGGCTGTGCTGGCACACACCACGGTGAGAGGGGCAGGGAAAGGGGCAGGGGTGGGTGGGACACAGCCAGGAACCTCTCGGGGGTACGAACAGTGGTAGGACAAGGACTAGCGAGTTTGGACTGACTGAAGGAGCGGGAATTTACGTTTGATTTACCGATGAAATCCTTCCCTGGGAGCGTGGGCAGGCCCTGGCACAGGGTGCCCAGAGAAGCTGTGGCTGGCCCCGCCCTGGGAGTGTCCAAGGCCAGGTTGGACAGGACTTGGAGCAACCTGGGCTAGTGCAAGGTGTCCCTGCCCATGGCAGGGGGTGAAATGAGATGAGCTTTAAGTTTCTTTCCCACCCATTCCATGATTTTGCAACACTGTTCTCTGGAATTTCATTTTAAGAGAAGAAATGAAGTGCTTAACACTGATGGACAATAATAGAAACTCATTTGTGCAGCATTTTTCTGACAGTCATTTAAAAATTTCCAGGGGGATGGAACAAGGTGAGCTTTAAGTTCCCTTCCAACCCAAACCTTTCCATGATTCTATGATTTACATGGGTTTTTGGAAAGTGAATTTTAATCTTCATATCTTTCCTTTTATTGCCAGTGTAATCCCAGAAATTAATAATGAATGTACAGTCAGACTTTATTATGCAGGTCCTGAGGAATAGCCTAGACCTTATTTTCTACCATTTCCTAGATGATAATAAGTTTGAGGGTGGTATAGATTGAGTTTTTTTAAAGAAAAAACTCCAGTGAGGTGGAGTTGTAGATCCTATTTCAGTGGTGGACATGCTGCACTGAGGTGGAGTCTGCATGTGCCCAGCTGTCCCTGGACAGCTTTGTCCACCAGGGCTGTGCACTGGTGCAAAAGTCTGGCTCAGACTGGCCTGGGAAGCTGCCTCAGTGTGTTTGTGTCCTCTGGATCTGAGCTGTCACTGTAACTGTGGGATGGATAGTTGTAAACCTGATGGCACGACCACAGATCATTGGGAACAGACTTGTTCATATTAAGGGCCAAATCTACAGAAAGTTGAGTTACAGAAGTTACACCATCATAGTAATTTTAAAGGTTTGGGTGCTGGGAACCTAATTTTATAGTGGTACATTTATTTTTGTAATAAAGGGAACTTTAAATGAGGACTTGCACTGGTCAGGAAAGGGTGTCAGAATTAGGATTATAGTAAATAGATGAAATCAGTGGTTTTATTTTGTCAGTAAGGCTGTGTTTGAAAGGAAACGAGTTCTTCCTTTCAGGAACTTTAAGGCTGAGTAAAACAATTAAAAGAAGATACTTCCCTGTTTTTTCCAATCTGAAATGTCAATAGGTATCAGTAGCTACGACAAGTGCTCAAAATTTGTTCAAGACAACAGTAGCAACTGGAAGTTCAGCTTCTCAGCAACCTGCAGTGATCACTGGTGGGCAGAGTCAAGGCTCAGCACAAGGCCAGGGGCAGCCTCGGCTGCCGCTGCCCCCTCACACGGCAGCTCCGGTGCCAGCACAGCCCCTGGTCATCCCCAGCTCTCCTGTGCCTGGAACCACAGTTGTGTCGCAGGCAAGTGCTAAAATACTGCACCCGTGGTTTTCTTAGTGCTTTGGGAACTTCTGGGGTCTGTTCAGAAGCAGGAAGAGCTTTTTCTTCCTGCAGGCATGCATCCTGTGATGGAACAAATGCTTGACAAGCAAGAAAACCCTCCCCCTCACTTCAGCTAAACGGGGGGCAAATTCTGAGAGGGAGGAAGAACACCTGTGGTTGGCTTTCCTCATCCTGCCATGGATGTGTCAGTAGGGAAAGAACTGTTTCTGTAGACTCAACAACCAGGCCTTTTAGTCTGTGGACTTCATTATTATCCTGTTGCTGGGCCTCAGAACTATGGTGTGTCAAAGTGTGATGTTTCTGTTTTTTGGAGCAATTACACCATATAAAAATAATGACTTGTTTTCCTGCTGATGAGAAAAGCTTAGATATGATGATATTTGAAGACTGATTTCTGATTTGATTTTATTGCTGCAGCTGCTTTGTACAAAAATATACTGAATAAATAATTGAACAAATTAGGATAGCTTGGGGAATGTTTGTACATTGCGTAGTGGGCATCTCAAAGGGGAATGCATCTCCAACAAATTGTTGTGTTACTTTTCATATTTAAGGTTATTTTTATCAAAGCAACCTGTAAAATATAAAATATATTTCTTTCATTGCTTTTTGTTGTTTTTATTCGCGAGCTCTGATGTTCAGTTACGTGAAGAAGTGCAGAAAATATCAGGTAACTTGCAGCCATAGCAAAACAGCTGCAGATTTGTTTCACATATGCCCTGTCTGAATTTTAAAAAGTGTCATCATTTTCCTTATTTGTGGTGGTCAGAGCATGCAGTGATCCTGATGCAGAAGTAGCATGGATCTGATATTTGTTTTCTTTGGCTTTTGCAGGAAATGCAAGAGAATGTGAAAAAATGCAAAAACTTTTTAGCTACCCTTATAAAACTTGCTTCTCATAATTCACCATCTCCAGAAACGTCCCGCAATGTGAAAGCTCTGGTTCAAGATTTGTTGGTAAATATTTAGTTATCTTTTCTTTTGTCAGTTATCTGTTAAGCTTGTTATTTACATAGGCTGAAAACTATTGCTGTGATCTTAATTCTTTGGGCTGTAATGAAAGTGAAAGGAGTTGAACTACATCAAAATGTGAGTATTCTCTACGTTACGTGTCTTCAAGAATCTGTTCAAGGCAGACTTTCTCTTAATTTCTGAAAGGAGAACTGCAGCAAAGTAATTAGTATGTGTTTGTCAAAAACACTCTTGTTTTGGTGGGTAATATTTTGGTCATTTCTTTAGAAAACCAGAGTAAAAAGATTTTTCCTTGAGGATTCATTAAGTTTCTTTTCCTCCAAACCATGGTCTTTTCTGAAACAGTGAGAAGCTGTTAATTGTCTTAAGGTATGGGCCTTCACAATGTGGGTTAGAGTTTCTAGGACTGAAGGAGAAGTATTTTGCTGAGCTGCTGGATCTGGACTTACTGCAGTCTCCAGTAAAACAGAGGTTTCAATGAATTGTATAAATGAGTTCCAGACAGATGTTACTGTGGAACTGGAAAAATGGTCAAGCTGCTTAGAAAGAAATGAAATATAGTCAGTGAAGAGGATGGATTTAAAAGCAGGTGGTATATATTTCTTTGAATTCATTGCCAGAGAAACCTGTATATTTTAGACAAGCCTAAGACTGTTTTCAAGTGTGAGCCATTCAACAATCATGTTCAGTGGTTACAGTAAAAACTCATGTTATCTTTTGCAAACTTGGAATGATTAAATAACTAAAGCTAGCTACTTTCTGTATTTTAAGCAAAGTAGCAACGCACATATGTAATAAATACATTTATTGAAGCTTGTTTGCTTTTTTGTTTTTTCTCTTGTTCTGTATCAGTCCAGGAAAGCTAATGAATGGTTTTATTACAGCCTGAGGTTGTAACTAGTGATACTCTAGAAATATTATAAAATGCATCTGAGTTATAGAGTTCTCCTGTATTAACTACAAAATAAACTACTGATTATGTATTTGATAAATTTATAAGTGTATATTTTGTGAGTATATACACAAATTCATACAGCTGACAATTTTGTATTTACTTATATGTGTACTTTTTGTATGTGCCTATGCTTTACATGTATAGTTTTATATATACACATTCTACTAAGTTAAATTGTACCATCAGAATTGGTTTTGGAATTAAGTATTTAATATTTTCTTATTACAAGGGCTGACAAATGTTACAGTAGTTTGTAAGGTTACTTCAATAACCTGTTGTTTTTGTTTTCTTTTAATTTTAAAAAAGAAATCCCTCTGTAAATGTTAGCAAAAGAATGGAATCCCAAAAGAGACTTGGGTGTATTTGGGGTCTTCTTGTGTCTGAAGTTGTGCATCCCAGGGGAACTCCCTGACTGTTGAGTGGGATGTTACATGTATGAATTGGCTCTTGACAGAAGGATCTTAGAGAGGAGTTGAGGGACTTCAGCTCCAAAAGTTCTGCTTGATGTGGCAGCCTATTTAGCTAGAGATATATGTGTATGTATTAGCTGGGAAAGAAACAACCAACCAACTGAACTGAGTTGTTGATGCTTTTTTTTCCTTCCCCCGAAGGATGCAAAGATTGATCCAGAGGAATTTACAGGCCGCCTTCAAACGGAACTCAAATCATCTCCTCAGCCATACCTTGTCCCTTTCCTTAAGGTAATGTGGATATTGTTTGGAGAAATCTATTTCAATGCAAACTTCTGTACAATGAGTCTTAGAATATCCTTTTGAAGTGGTGTTAGCTAGTCCTGCCTAGAGCAGGACTACTCCCTTTTTACTTCATGCTGCCCACTCCTGCCAGAATGCTCTTGGCTGGCAGTCCCTTGCAGGCTCCCTCTCAGTTCTTCCAGCCAGGTGCTGCTCCCTGGCAGGCTGGGAGAACAGTGAGAACCAGGGATTTCCTACAGGAGGGAAGACCTCGTGTTTGGGGCCCTGGCTTAGGTTTAAGAACAATGTGTTTGTCATCCAGAGCTGATCTGGAGTTCATGACTCGAGCAGCTCTGACCTAGAACGTTGCAGTAATTAGATTTATATAAAAAAGCAGTTACTCTCTAGTTTGGAAATCACCCATTGGCTATTCTGTAGTGGTCCTTTACTTTTATAAAAAAGTACACTTTTCTGTGATAGTAGGTTAATTTTTGGGAAGAAGTACAGCATTCACATTTGGAGGAGTCACAAGTTATTTCTATAAAATGCTTCAAGTAATTTAATAAGCTTTTCCATATTGTTTTTGTTATCTATGTTTGGATCATTGTTAACTTGCAATCCACATGTAACAATGATTATGAAAAACTGAAATGGATAGTGGTGTTGAAATAATTGATTAGATGATCCTGCTTGTAATCTGGAGCTAATCAGTAGTATACTTTCTGATGTGATACCAAGTGGATTCATTGTTGGGTCCTAAGTTAGTATACAAGGGGATAAATTTAACTTTTAATTGGTTCTATACATTAGCTACAATAACTGCAAGATTATATTCAAACATAAAAAACATGTTTAATTATGTCCCAACAAAACCACAAATACAATTTTTAAAGCATTTTTCGTCTAGTTCAAAACTCCTCTGTTTAGGGCAGATTTCCTCTTTTCTCCTGCAACTTTTCTTCAGAACTTTCTCCCTCTGCTTCTGTGTTTTCAAGTTATCATTAACCCTTATTTGTGCCTTTTCCTGCAGTCACTGCAGTCACTTCTGGCATCACGATAAGTTTTAACTTGTTTCCTTTCTTTGAAGTCCTTTCTTGGCAACAGGCATTAAGTTTTTAAATAAATATTATAACTTTAGAAAGAACTGTAGCTTGGGCTGAACACTTGCATTCTACAGCTGCCTGGGGGAGCACTTCAAAAGAACACTACTGCCACTTAAAAAGTAAAAAGTCTGTTCATGAAGGTACAGTACAGCCTTTTAGAACTGTATTTTTTTGTTGAAGTGGTTTGAACATGAAGGCTACAATAGTACATTTTTCTAATCCAGTCAGAGTACCCTAGATCTGCAATAATACAGCCAAAAGCTATTGCTGCAGGGCATCAACAGTTAAGTCATCTCGTTCTAGGTACTGGAGGCACGTCAGGAGAAGTAAAGTGCAACTTGCTTCTTCTAACATGCAGTGGGAACAGGGTTCTTCCTGCAGTTCAACCTTTTCTGGTTCCAATTTTGCCCTTCCAAAGGCCTAAGCTACAAGTTCTAGATAGTCTGGAGAAGGAGAATGTTATATTTTACTGCTGCAGTGGAATTTAGGGCACGTGACAGTCTACAGGGCTGCAAAATGCAAATTGCAAGCTTATTAAAAATGTAAACTGAACTTTCTCTCCTACAAAATATGTTCAATCTTATTTCTGTTTGATGAATAGGCCGATAGTAATAATTGGGAAAAAAGTTATGTTCTTTTAATTGTGTTTATAGCAAAATTTCAAAATATTTTTTGCCAACCTGCTAAGTTTGCTATTTCATAAACTTTCTTCTGTTTCTAGAAAAGTCTACCTGCCTTGAGACAATCTTTACTGAATAGTCAGCATTTGGTTTTGCAAGGACAGCCGTCTCAGCAGCCTCTTCAACAAAGCAAACTCTCACAAGTGATACCTCAGTCTGCCTCGGGAAGCATTTCCTCTGTTGTCACCACACAGACAATAGGAATAAGGCAACCAAACAACATTTGCACAGTCTCTGTATCAAATACAGTGCAGCCTCCTCAGGTTAAGGTGGTACAGTCAAATCAGAGTTCTCAACTGGTAGGTACTGTAGTATAAAAGAGAATTTCTTAGTCAACTGTATAGCAGTTTTCATTGTTATTTTTATTGCAGCTTGTTTGGGAAAATACTTTTCTGTTTGTACCATATTCTGTCATACATAATAGTACCTCATTTTGTGTCATTTCATATGTATGCTCAACCATTAGTTAACATTATTAACAGTTTAAATGTAAGGAAGTGCACTCTTGACCTTTTTGTCTGCAATCCAGTGATCCTTGTATGAGCACAGTGGAATTTGAGGGAATTACAAATGTAGAACAGAAAGCTTCTCAAGACTTACTAAATATTATCCTCTTGTATGTCATTAGATATGCTGCTTTGCCTAGATTAGTCTGCATTAAAATTAACTCTCTCATTTTAAACTCTTCTTCACATTGTTATAAAATCTTGTAGAAGAATAGCTGTACCAGGATGTTCTGTTTAGAAATAATACCATTCTTTGTTACTGACTGAAATGCATCTTTGTTGTGCATAGTGGAGTATTATGTATTTAGATTAATTAATTTCAAAGACACTGTCAGTAAGGCAACTGAATTCATATAGGAGCTTGTGTGTGTGTTTACAGCTTTAATTAAAATATGTTAAGGATCTTTACAAGGCCTTGAGCTTATACAGGTGTTATCACCCTTCAAGCAAAGATGTGAGAGTTTCTTTGTCTGTGGTTTCTGTGTTTGTATGAGTAAAGGACTTGACTGAGGTTTTGAAACCAAATTGGCAGGTTCCAGAAGGTGTATCAAGTTGGTAAAAATTTATATTATCAAGGTTGAGAAATACATATGTGATTATGTAAAACCTTCCAGTGATCTATCCTTGAGTCTATATGCTCTGTAAAGGATATAAATAATTTGTAGGGTGTGGGGAGAGAGAATGGTTCTTTTGCTTTAATTTAAAAGTAGCAGTGCACAGTCTGAAAATGTCTGAGCCATCTGAGCCAGATCTTGAACCTTACAAATACTTCCTAGTGGTTAAATTACTAACTTTTATAGTCCTTTAGTGAGCATAGTTTTCATGGATGCTGAGATTTCTGACTCTGCCTGTTGCAATGCACACGAGAGGTGGGTGTTTCTCACCCTGCCTCAGTGCTCTCTGTTCAGCCACTTGCATTCTTTCTTGTTTTCATAGGGGTTCTCCCCAGCCCTTCTGGATTGTTGGGTTGATTAGAAAAGTGTTCCTCACACTTTTTGTGGCATTGTTTTGATTTGGCCATGTTTCATAAGACTGAATGGACAAGAGCTTTGGTGCTTCAAAGCAGAGGGAGAGGAACTGGTGGTAATTACAGTAGGTGTAAGAATTACTCCCTGTCCAGGGAAAGCAAATTTCTGACAGCAGCTGACAGATTGCTTGCAAGTATAAAAAGCCATGGCCAGTAAGTCTGGCTTTATGCCACAATCTTAAGACTAAGGTAACATGGTTTTTTCCAGTGTTGTGCAACCCACCCAAACACTCCTGTGCCCATCTGGCAGTTGCACCCCACCTTTTGAGAAGGACTGGTGTGCAACAAACACGTGTGAGGCCACAGGAATGCTTACTCTTAGGATTGTAGTTCTTGTGGAATATTTTGTGAATGGAAGAAAGCTGTGTTCCTGGGAGAGACACTGTCTGTCTCGTGTCAGTGGGTGCTCAAAGCCAGCAGTCGTGTTAACCTGAGTGGAGATGAACAGTGTCAGCTTATTCAACATACCTGTGTCATAGGAGGGAGCTCAAAAGTGCTCAAGTAACACATTGTGGAGATTGATCTGAGGGGCAAAACAGGCTGCTTTTGTGTCTGTAAGGAGGTCACAGGTCTAGGGCTGAATTTTCATTTACGGGGTACATGAAATGACTGCTACATTTTCTAAAGGTCACAAACCACACGGAGCAAAACTATGCTTACTGCTCCTTTTCTAGAAAATACTTAGAGATAGGACATTAAAAACTGTAATTTATTGGCTTTAGTGTAAAACTGTCTTTTCATATTTGCTTTAAATTAATCAGTCATTAATTAATAGAACCAAACATTACATTAACCAGGCACTTAATGACCCTCACAGTAGTTCTGTACAGACAAAAGCAGCATTAAAGAGTGAGAGTTACTGCATGAAAAAATCTTAGATAGCACAACAACCAACTCAGGTGCTGAGCAGAGAACCCAACAGCAGCTCCATGTCACAGTAAGGATTGTTCCTAGGTAGTGATTCTTTGTAGTGCCAGTGCTCCCAACCCTGAGTGCTCCCCGAAATCAGAGCAGAGCCCAGAGCTCCTGCCCATCTTGTCCGGAAGAGGAGGATTGCAGCTGCCTTGCCTGGGGGTGGCCAGCACTGATGGAGGAAACTGGCTGAGCTCCAGATTTTCCAAGCCTGAAGCTCACTGGAGAGAGTTCCAGCTGGCTTTGCAAACTGTCCAGCTGCAGAAGGGCAAGCCTGTTTTAGAATAGAGATCTTTTCATACCAGCCAGTTTACAGTAGTCTAGTTTCCTTTAAAACGTGGAGAATCTGTTAGCTGTTCCTTTCTTTTGACATTTCTGTTTCACAAAGGGGTCAGATGAGGTGAGACTTCCTCCAGTGGTATTGAGGTATCTTGCTGCATGGAAATTCTGTGTACACTGTCAGCATGCAGCATAGCTTGCACAAAGGCTTTGAAATGTGAAGTATTAGTGCAGATGGAAGAGGAGACAATTTTTTATTCATTTTGTAAAGTATTGGAATCATAATCTAAACTACAAAAAAGCAATGCTTTTAAGAGCTAGATAGTGCTACTTCTAGATAGAGAAAAGGGGAATAATCTTAGGCTAATATTTTATTGATGAGACACTAATGAGATAAGCCAGCAATCAATTTTTTTAATTGTTCTAAGTGCAATATTCAAAGTTGGTCTAAATTGCCATTCTTAGGGTCCATGTGCTCTACATTTCCTGTCTTGTTCTGGGTGTTACAGCAGGTACAATTTGCAGGAATGAGAGAGATGCTGTTTATTAAATGTTTTGAAGTTGTAAGTGGATTGATGGGTAATGGAGATGGATTAGCAGTTTACATGTTGTGTTGACACTGACTGCATCATGAGGAGAATACTCCTGAATGTTAAAACCAATTACTAAATGTGAGTGATAAGGAAAACTAGTAAGAAAATCAGTGATCCATCTTAATTAAAACAAGTTTAATTATCTGCAAAGCTGTATAAAGACTTGTGCAGGTCTAGGATTAGGAAGGATGTCTAGAAATACATCTGGACTGTTATTGTTGCAGCAATTTGGGCACAGTGTCCAGAGGGGAGACTCTGCCATCTTCTGAGCTCCTTTAGAACAGGATTTGCTCAAACATTTACTAACACTTTTCTAGGGACTGTCATAGTGGTTGGAGTCTCCCAAAAGGTGAGATGGAATAATGGAATTTGGAAAAAAGATGCAACAGCAGAATAAGCATTTTGTTGTATGGGGATGTTCTGCTTTCCTTTTTAATTCTCTGCAGAAGCTTTTCCTGGCATCAGTTTTCTGTTCATGAATGGTTGTAATGTGTCCACATTTTACTGATTCATAGGAAATCATTTTCTCTTTGTCCTATGTGCAAGGCAGCTTACAAATGTAAGAGTAATAGATGGCTGTTTGGGTAAAAGGAGTAGTTTCTATTAATGAACTAATAAAGATCTAGTCACTGACTTGGAATTTGGTGTACAATAAAATCTAAATAAAAATGACTGTTGAGCAGCAGAGGTCTGGGATCCATTAACAGGAACAAAGCCTATACTTAACAAATTGTGTGGCTGTTTGAAATACAGCCCAGTAGTTTTCTGAGTTGTTGTCATGCACTTTACTGTCAGAATTTTGTGGGCTATACCTTAATAAAAGGAGAATATTGTCACTGGTTGCTGTTTGGAAACCAGTAACAAAAGAGCAGTATTAAAAACAAAGACTAAAAGAAAAGCTTAAGAGAATTAAACACATCTCACTTGGTCAAACACTGACTAAGAGGAAGAATAAAAGGCCATTTTTGGAGCATACCAAGACAGTATAAAAATGAACAACAGCATATAATTAAATGAAGGAGGATTTAGGTAGCATATAAGGCAAAATATCCTTAGAGTAAGACAGAATATCAGATGGTAGATCAGGCTCCCAAAGACAGTGACGAAAAAGCCATAATTGAAAACATTCAAAAATAGACCATTTGACAAACTGTAGGAAGAACTCTATATGAAACTGGGGAGCAGGTGGGACAAGTGATCTGGTGGCTTCTGTTTTATTTTTCTTCATTGCTTTGTTGAAAACATATACCCAATGGAACAGTATTGTTGTCATATTAACATTAAAATTTACGTGCTGAGTTTTTAAAAAGTCAGTCTTTTTTATTTGGGAGGAAAAATATCTGCTTATGCAGATTTTGAGGCACTGCTGAAAAATTGTAGCTGCTACTGATACAGCATGGTGAACAATGGTAAATACAAATTCTAGGCCCATAAAAGCATGAACATTGTAAGTTAATGCTGCCAGATTACATGATAGCTGAGGTTTGATATGACATTTATCTTCAGGAGTGAGTAGACTGATAAATCACAAGTGGCATAGCCACAAGTGAGTTAGCAAGTGTTTACTCATGAGTGAAGATAAATGTCATATCAGACCACAGCCATTCTGAATTTTATATGTTTACAAGTGTCTTGTTTCTTCCTTTCACAATGTTGTTTTTTTAACTTAATTGAGAGGAAAAGAAATGCTTGGTAAAGGATATATTTTTCAAATTTATTTTTATTTTCCATTCTTCGCAGAAGCTTCTGTTTCCTCTGCTTTTGTCTTTATTGTGGTATTTGATAGGTTTAAGCTTTTGGATCAGATGGTTTTACTGCCAAGTATGATTTTATGTGAATTGAGTCAGGCTGGGTTTGCAGCTGTTGTCAGGTAAAAGGGAGGCATATTGCTGGGACCTTGTGCACTGGGACAGGAGATTGGCAAAATCTGTGTCCTCAGAAACTTCAGCAATGAGTTCTAATCCAATTGTCATAAAGGACTTTTCCCTTCAATGGTTTGTAGGTAGTGGCTTTCATTTTATTTTGTATTTCTTGCATGAGAAAGAGAACAGAAGTTCAGTCTTTCTGCTTCTGTACATTCTGTGTGCTCTGGCTGGATTCTTTCTCAGTCTGTATTTGTTGGTTATTTGTGTTGTTAATCATTGGTCTGTGTTCACGTCTGTAATTTGTTCTCTGTGCTGCAATAACTGACACAGTAGATTCACACCCATCATGGAATGATCTTCACCTTCTGGCTTGAGATTAGGTCCAGAGAGCACCATTACTTTAGTCTCATATAGTTATTGAATTGATGATTTTTGAAGAAGGCCTTTAAGAAAAATGTGTATTTCAACTGTCCCCTCTTTGTTATTCTGCTTATCAATAGTGTGATTGTTAAATATCTTTTTTTTGTCTTTGTGGGTCTGCTTGCTTTGTGGGGAGCACCTTTTACAAACATCCCTTTTTTTTTCATCTGTGAGAATAAATTCAGCTTTAGAGAAGGACAGGGTAGGAGTCTGAAGTGTTCAGGAGGTGAGAGAAGGAGCTGCTCTGGAGGAGCAGTCAAAGGGTGAATCAAAGTGTGACTAGTGGAGTGGAAATATGGCAAGGGGAGATGTGCAGAGATGACATAAAACCAGAGGGAGAATACTTTCTATTGTGAGAAATATACATCTTATTTTGCAGAAAAGTGTTATTTTATAGAAGAAAAATTGAGGTAACTGTTCATGTATTGCACTTGGAGAACAATGGCATGACTCTCCTGCTTTGGTGTGTTTCTTGAAGAGCTCCAAAGTGCAGGAGATGATTCTTCATATTTTAACTGATAAACTGATAAACTGATGACAGTACTTGCTGTCTCAACACTCTCTTGATCATAATTTTGTTTGGTAATTTTGCTATTTTCCAAACTCATTATCAAATCCAGGCAATGACTAAATCACATTCTGTCTTTTCTATTTTCAGTGCCTTTGTTGTTCTTGTTCTGTTGTGCTTGCTGTCCTCAGTGGTGTAAATGCTTCCCTTTTTAATGGAGTGGGAATGATGAACAGTTTCTGTAAACTTTGATGACTTGTATATCCTGTCTTGTTACCTTTTCTGACTCAACACTTTTATTAAGTCATTGATGATGTGATTAAGGACTAGTGGTAAAAGGTTGGAAAGGACTTCTGGAGGTGTCTCATCCAGCCTCCTGCTTACAGGTTAGGATGTCTCCTGGGTGACCAGTCATGTTTTGAGTGTCTTCAAGAAGAAATTACACAATCTCTCCAGGCAACCTATTCCAGAGCTTGTCCACCCTCATGGTGATTTTTTTTTCTTCTATTAAGTTGGAATTTCCTATATTCCACCTTGTGTCCTTTGTGTTACATCCTTCTGCTCTGCACATCTGAGAGAGTCTGGCTCTGTCTTCTCTTCCCATAGGTGGTTGCAAACAGCAGTAAGATCTCCCCTTTTTTGAAGGCTGAAGTAATGTCTGATAACCTCAGTGTACTAAAACATCCACTTCTGTGTCTGCTCTATCAGTCTGGGTCAGTAAATTGGTGCTTACAAACTGATCATTTGGGATTCAGTATTGATTCAGCATATGGATGGATCACATGAGATGGGATACACTCCTTGTCTGAATTGTTAGACTGTGAGAAATATGAAATAATTTGATTAAGCTAATCATCTCCCAGACTAGCTTGGCAATACACTTGTTCATTGTCTACAACTTGCAGGCCAAATTAAGGACATAATAGTAATGTTTATGATTTTGGGAAAATAGGCAAGAGGATTAGAGCAGTTCGAATTATTTTAATAGATGAAGCGTGATTTGGATTGTTTATAAATTTTGATGCAGGATCAGTTTGCTCTGATTCATCAGTTTTTACAATGTCCCTTGTTTGCCTACAAAGGAGGTTCCACATTCTGTTTCAGAAACAAATTGCTAATGTTAATTCCTTAATGACGTCCAGAGCTGAAGATTGTGTCTGTGCTGAAATCTATCTCAAAACTCCAGCATAGAAGCTGGGATTAAGTTAGTGTAAAATGCTGCTCTGTTCCTTTGAGAGAGTATGTGATTGCTGATTGGTTTCTGTATGGAATTGATGATGTTGATTTTGGTCTCTGCCCTTTGGAAAGCTCATTTCTCAATTTTCTACACTTTCAGCACTTGTACATATGTTGAAGTCCTAGTGCAGTACTTGCTACAGGACACTTTTTTGAATGTGTTTGATAGTAAGGAAAACGTTGCCATTATTTATGTCTTCTTAAATGGTTGAATACTGTCCTGTCTTTAATGGTGTTAGTGGCTCATTTCTTAGGGAATTCACATGAAAATATTAATCAGGTGAAACAGAACTTGGTTCTGAACTGTAGAAGTACTTTGCTTCACAGGGAGAATAAAAAACTCTGATACCAGAAGATTGCTGTAATACCAGGTAGTAACTCTGTCCACAGGTCACACACATCTCCTTTCTGGCCTGGTAAGGCACAGTGGCTTCTCTTCACTGTGCTCTGAAAATTCATCCAATAAATTATGGTAAAAGTGACAACATTCTCCTTCTTTTTCATACCAATGTAGGGTTTTTTTTTTCCCACGGACTCTTCTGTCTCTTTACTAAAATACACTTGTACATGTTTCCTGTGCATCAAAATGCAGTTACATTTGACTTTCCCCCTCATTTTCACTTACCAGCTCTGTGTCTTTCCTGGTTTGAAGCATGGTAGCTGATTTGTTCTTTCCTCTCCGAGTGGGACTGTTCATTCACTGCCTGTCTTGACTGAGTCAGTTTACAGCCATTTGCTCCATCTCTGTGCTCCCTACAAATGCTCCATTTTCCTTCAGTGTTCATAGTTAAAGCTGAATCCTTAATCTTTTTTCCCTTTTCTCTTTCTGCAAGGTGACTGTTGCTAATTCTTCTACATCCACAGGTTCATTACGACTTTGCAACTTCTACTATTTTAGGATGTGCAAATTGCAGTTTCATAACTTCAGAATGGCCCTGCTTGTTTTTTCTCCAGAATACATTGCAGGTCCCTCATCCCTCTGTTCTTGTTTGGAGTTTTCACCTCTCTCCCTTCCAGTTTGGGAGCCCTGGTTCCAGCTGATGGAACAATTTCCTCTTTTCTCTGTAGCCTCTTCATTCTCTACTTTTGCATCTCATTTGAAAATGCTGTTTCTCCTTTCCTTTTCTCCAGAGGTTACTTTGAAGTCAGAGATTTGACCAGTTGTTATTTAGCTAAACAATCTGGTTTTAGATACACTTTGTAGGTATAATGCTGAATGGAATTGCAGTGGTTCCCATTCACTTCACACAGTGCTGTGCAGTGTGGTGCTGAATTCCGGGAGGGAATGGGGCTGAACTGGGATTGAGGAGCCCCAGACACATGGTGCAGTGGGAGGATGATGGTTGTGACTGTGGCTCCTGAAGTTGTAATTCCCAAGTTGTGGTTATAATCTTATTCGTAGCTATTTGCCTGTGTTTCATGTTCAAAGTTGATTTATGGATTTTTTTTACAGCTCTGCAGCATTCACACATCTTTTTGAATCTTCTGTTCATTGCATCTGTGCTACCTGGTCCCTGATCATGTGAATGTACATTTTGCTGTTGCTTAGACATGACCCTTGCAGGTGTTTTCCTTTTTATTTGATTTGTTTATGGGTCAAATTTTGTTTCTAACCCAGTTTCAGTTTTTGGGGAAGGACTTCAAAACTTGAATGAGTAATAAGAGAAACCTTGAGAATATCCAATTAATATTTAAAAGATTAGTAGTATATGATCAGCACAAAACTTGGTTGTCTTTCTTGAGTATACCTGACTTTGAAGCCCATAATATTTTTGCATTTATTTTTAGTATATGTTTTCTTTAAAAAGCGTAGATATATAGTGCAAGGCCTAATGTTTGCAGGTGAATACCACTAAAATTAATGCAGCATTTTCTTCTACAAAATTGGTTTTCTTCCTTGTAAAACTTCTGAAGACAAAAGTCTAAACTTTAATATTAACCTTATGACTTTGAAATATATTTTTGATGAAGGTTGTGACATATGACATTTGTGTCGGATATTATTTGATTTTTTTTATTTATTTTTTTTTAAAGCATAATGGCAAAATAGGTATATACACACACACACAACCACATGCATTACATGAATATGACTTTTGTCACCAGCTGGTTGTGCTTTTAGAGATCCACATGCTTGTATTGGTAATTACAGGTATTAGTGTATTTACGTTGTGTGTGTTTGTGTATAAAGAGTATAATATAAGTATACTTTTCTTTAATAATAGCAGATTATCCAGTCAACATCTGCTCAAACTGTGAAACGAACCCCTGCTTGCCAGACTACCCAGATTAGGATGCCAGTGGTAATAACTCAGACCATTAGACCACAAGGTATGGGTTTAAATGTTTTAGTGAGATTGTTACCTTTGTATGAATTTCGTTGTCATTACAAACGAGTGGCATGGAAAAACGTGCAGTGTTGACCTTGGCAACATTGTTGACATTGATTTTTTACCTCCTGCTGCCTGAAGAGTGCATGTTTCCATGTGCAGTTTCAAGGTGTTTCAGACCCACGCAGTGAAATGTTTTGAAACAACCTCAGGACTAAACTCTCACATGTTTAGCTCCTTACTCAGCAGTTTTTAATGGAAAGTTCTAAAAAAGGTCAGGAACCTGGCTCTTGCTGTCCTGGACCAAGAAAGAAATTCTTCATTTTTCCTGCCTCGACTTAATCATCCTACTTCTAATTTTTACTCCTGAAGCAGAACATGATAGTCACTGTCTCTGCAGCTACTGAGGGCAAGGGAGGAGTCCTAGAGAAATTTCTCAGACCTCATGGTTTATTTTTGACCCCTGGCAGTATATTCACTTTTTGGTGAGGTCAGAGACTGACTTCCAGCAACCTGACATGCCACAATTAGCCATGGCATGTGGTTTGTACACAGCTTCCTCATCTATCTGTGCACAGGTGGATTCCTGTCTGGCTGATATATCCCACTTTTTGAAAGGATTCTCAAAGCCTCCTTGCTTTCTGACAAATATCCATTTGTTTCTTTCTACCACTAAACCTGTTAGGCTTGGTTTTTATTTTTCCTGAGCACGTGTGAGAATATCTTATTGGATGTGGGCATTTCCCTGATTGAGGGTTTGTAATGGAATACAGAGCTTGTCATCTGCAGGTATTGAATCAGGAACCACACGAGTTTCAATGCACATAAAAGCTATTGCTGCCTATTTGCCTTCATTGCTCGGTTGTTTCTGTTCTCCTTGGGAAAAACATCAAAACCATTTAATAGCAGTTGATGTTTTACTTGCTCTGTTCTCTTAGGGGAATCCAAAGGTTGAATGGACATGGAGACCAAGCTGGCACTGTAATCCTGTAGGCTGTTTTTCCAAGTTAGGAAGAAATACATTTACTCACCATAAAATGTGTATATTTGATAGCACTGATACTCATGTCCTGAGTTCATAACATGTCCATGCATCTTATAGGATGAGCTTTCACTTCTGACTAACGTGTCTGAGAGTGAAGGCAGATTCTATTTCTTTGCTTGTTCAGTCTCCAAGTTGTGAATGTCAACAGAATGCCAAGAATTTGCATGATACTGGGCTCTGCCTTTTAAACAGTGGATCCAGAATATGAATTTATTCTTGATAGCCCTTGGTCAGCCAGTGCAATGCATCTTGACTGGCAGTTTGGCTCAAGGTAGACAGTGGTTTCATAAAAGCCAATTTGTGCAAAGTCCTGCTTTCAGGTGAGATTATTCCAGTTTAGAAGTTTGATTAAGCCCCCCACTGTATTGTTTTAATTAACACAGACAAAGCAAACAAGAATAGGCATTTAGAAAACATCCCCTTGTCAAAGCCCTGATCCTGCAGCCCATGTCTGGGGGGAGCTGTGCCCCTGTGAGCAGCTCTGAGTTGCTGCTGTGGCACTGTCAGAGACAGTTCCTTTTGATATATTGTTAAAACCTTTCACTGTAAACACCACTATAGTGATATTTTATACTGGCCTAGGTATTCCTCCAGAATGAGGCAATATACTGGAATAGGATATGGTCTAAATAAAAATTACAGCAGTATAATTTTGTGGAGTGTGACTTTTTAAAGGTATTTACACCGGAACTGAGCTGACCTCCACAGAGTGCTGCATTTTCCTTCTGGAGAGGAGTGAATCTCCAGGTGTAATGGATCTTTAATACATCCATATGAGCAGACTGTAATGCTTTTTAAAAGAGTGGTCTAGATAAAATTGGCAGGCTTTAAGGACTTTTATATAAATAAAATTACTTCCACACCAGGAGAAGTGACACCGTTGTTATTGCATGAAAAATTCACACTCCTTTACTGAAGCACTTACCAGTATAATAATTAGGTGAATTGCATCTTATGGATGGAGGAATTGAGGCAAAGAATAAAATAATTAGGTATTCATTGCAGCCATTCAACCTGTGCTGAAATACAACTAGGAATTTATAAGCTCCTAAATTTGGGTTTATTTTTCTAGATGATGCTACTTAAAATTTGGAGCAAGGATCCAGTGGTGAAAGACTCTGTATGTCATTACCAATCCCATGAAATATCTAGGCCCACAGGTGATTTTGGTTTTCAAACTATGCCCTGCCCCATAATGTAAATGGATGTCGAACTGCTTAGTCATGCACAGTTGTGATTTATTCAAACCAGAACACATATGTCATCCCAAACCTTACATTTACTTTGTCAGATGCATTTGAGTAGAATTCCATATACTTGGGATGAAAGTGAGACTTAGATCTTCCATATCCAGGGCAGACATACTGCTTTCCTGATAACTAGGGTAGCTACTCTGTTGCTGTACCCTTTTGAGTTTGGGGGGGTGGGTTTTGACCAAAAATTATCATCTGTAGAAAACAAAGCATTGATACTGACTCCAAAGAAATAGAATATTAATTTTGAAGGAGTGCCATTGTTACCTTAATTTTGCCATTGCAGTATTTTTCATGGTTAACACGCTTTTAATCTCTCTGATACTAATTGTACAAACCAGAGATCTGCTAATTTTTATTATAGTATTATTTCTTTTCTTCCAGTTCACTTAATAGAAAACCTTTCCATTAGTTCATCTGAAACAGATAAATGAATTGTCTGGTCCATGAACTAGTGCTGTCTGTGGCATCTCATGGACCTTGAATATTCTGATGACAAAGCATTTTTATTCCCCAGGCTTGAGCCTGAAGTCCTAAATCTGGTTTTGTATTTGCTAACATTGATAGTCCACACTACAGTTTATTTATACAGATGGAGAACTGAACACACACTGTCAAATTAGTTTCTCTTTTAAGATCATATGTTGGAGTTGATGAAGACTTCAATATTAAAAAACAAATGTAATGCAAGACTAATTCAAAGCTAACACTTTTGTTTTAGCCAGGAAGTGTTCTTAAAAGGATTTGTTGGGATAGTTGTGTTTCAGGTTTTTATAATTCATGGAAGAAAAATCCTGTAACTCTCCTGAGGTTCATGCCCTGCCAGTTATGTGCAGTTGAGTCAGAGAGGTGCAGGAAGGACTCTCATGTCCTTCTCAAACTGTGTAACTAACATTCAGTAAAAGGGAATGATATACAAGAAAAAGGGGAGATCTTTTAAGTCAAGTAGGCATATGAGTTATTTTTACATGTCAAAACACAGGTGGGATTAAAGGAAACACAAAATAGAACCCAAGTAAATGTATTTAAGCAGTAAAGGAGGGCTTACTCCACAAGTTTCATTTGCCAATTCTTTACATAGCATTCTGATGCTATGTAAATAATAATGATAATAATAATAATAATAATAATCTGGTGAATTTCTAATTAGCAACGTAAATGTGTAATTATTTTTGGTTAGATTTTCCCAAATGCCAGAGAGGAATTAAGATCCCTTTTTAATTTACTCAATGTCCACCACACTTTGGCACATTTAGAAAGCCCAGTTTTACTTCTACTTCAAGACCTGTAAAGTCTAGATACAGTTATGGATGACTTTTAAATCATTGTTTTCAAGATAAGAAAGCAAAAGACAACCTTTATGGGAGGGGTTCTGTCAAATTTGGCAATAGTGTTTTTTCTTTTACATGCAATGCAAAACATTTTAAAATTCCTGTAGTATTTTCAACTCTGAAATATATGTTTTTCACTGCAATAAAGAACAATTACTGTATAAAAAATGTCAAAGGCAGACTTAGTACCCTGACTGTGACTTGAAGTATATGTATTAAGAACATTTCAAATTCTGCTTCTTTATTCTGTACAGATTGTCCAGAAAAGAGGTTTACTGGCAATTCCAGGCACACTTTTAGCCATTACAAATGTTACAGCCAGTTATGGCCAATGGTTTTCAGTTTTGGAATCCTCACTGTTCTGTAAATATTGAACAAACTGTAATGTTAATATAAATTTTGTATTTTAAATTGTTCTCCCTCAGCATGTAATCTTTAAAAATAATAACTTCCTTTGTTTGCAATTTACAGACAGTTAAATTTAGTTCCTGGACAGAAGGTTCTTTGATGTAAATTGTCTAAGACAGCTCATAATAACATTGCTTGGTGTTTTTCAGGCACAGTAGGGAAGGCACCAACAATACAAGCCAGTAAAAGTCCTGGGGGCTTTGGTGTTCAGGTCTCTGCAAATCAGAAAAACAAGCTGAATGACCCTGGAGGTGGTTCTTTCAGGTAAAAAAAGAAAAAATAATAATAAAAAAATGCAGCGGGGTGGTTGGGGGGGATCTTAAATAGAAAATAGAATTTGGAATTGCTGTAACACCAGAGGGCAGTCTTTTACAATAATTCCTGCCTTTTCTCTCCGGGATTGGATGGCAATTTTCATATTTAATTCTATTTTAGAAAAAGGGGATTGTGACATATTGGAGGATTTTTCTCTAAAAGCACAATTTAATGTTTAGCAAAGCCTTAAATTCTGTGATTATAATAAAACTTCTGCTAAATTGAATTACGTGCATGAAGCTTTAAAAGAATCCATGGTTGGTTTTATGTGTTGGATTCAGCTGTTCCTATGGAATGTGTCTTGCTGGGAAGATCCTGGTTGTGATGACAAGGCTTCCTGTCCAAAAGCTTCTGCAGCCAGGCTGCAGCTGCCCCTCACCAGCACAGGGAAAATCCTGCCTGGCTTTGGGCTGAGTTACTGTGGGGGGGTGGGCTTGGGAGGGGGTTATTGTGGGGGGGAGATGTTGTTCCTGGTTTTCAAGAGAAGACATTGCTGTGTCTGTTCTTCACTTAGGGGGGTTCTGTGGGACCCCAGGTGCTGCAAAGGTTCAACACTGATGCACTGAGCTGCTACACCAGTTCTTTAGGACTTCAAACTTTTATTTAAATATATATTTTGGATATTTTTACTTCTTTTTACTGGAAAGCAAATCTTGTGTTTACTGCATTTTGCTTTCACTAACACCATCTTAGCTGTGTACATTTTATTTCTGTTAAAACATTTTGCTTTCATATTAAATGACAAAATGCTCCTAGATTTTAATTTTCGTCTTCTGGAATTCTTATGTTGCCCTGACATTATCAAACCACTAATTAATTTTCAAGCTTATGCTTTTGCAGGTGAAGTAGAAGAGAATTTGTAGCTCCTTGAAATACCTCTGCTTTGAGGCATGTCAGTATTGCAACTAATAGTGGTAGTACTTAGTATTAATCTAGAAGCAAAATCATTCAATTTTTTATTTTCCAATGCTTTTGCCTCCCACTGAGTATTTAAATGAATTAAAATGTCTGTTGGGTTCAATTGTACTGTCTTAATAAGTATTTTTTATGTTTGTAAGCAACATGAGCATTTATTCTTCGTTAGTATAGCTTTCAATTTTACAGACACCAAAAGGGACAGCATTTTTTTAACTGGGTGTTGTAAACTGTGCCAGGATTGATTCTTGCATTCACTTAGTTTATACATAGAATATATTAGGTTAGCTGGAATTGTTAATTTTCCCTTGGGGAGAAGCAAATGCTCAAGGCACTGATTGATAAATCAATAAATCTTTAGTGAGTTTGGTAAATAAGCTGTCAAGGGTGTATGTCATTTTTCCTCTAGAGAACAAATTTTAGTCAGAATGAATGTGTTTGTTTCCTTGCATTGTTTTCTCCTTCAAAATAGTAAGACACAAAGCTGCATTTAAATAAGTCCATAAAATTTGCAAGGATTTATTAAACAGCAGCAAAGATCAAGCTTTTTCTTGATATCTTAACAAAGAATTCAGTTGTTTGCATATTTGCATTTCAACCCCTAACCTCTCCTGAGGACAAATAGATGTCTGACTATTAAGCCTAAAGGCACAGAGCTGGAAATCTGTATTAATCCTCTGAATGCTGACTAGTTTTCCTCAACATTCCCAGCGTGTGTGAAGAATGTGTTTTTAGCCAGAAGGCAAACTGGCATCTAAAGCAAAGCAAGAATTTTGAAAAATAGTTGTGTTATGTATAAATTTATTTTGCCCTTAGTGTTTTATTATTGCATATTTGTTTCATTATTTTACATTCTGCCTTCTTTAAAATAACTTCTTTGAGCTTTTCGCTTTTGTGAGTGAAGTGTTGGTCACTAGAAACAGAAATTTTGAACTTTGTTATTTTTTTATTTTTTTCTGTTCTGGACTGTGGGAGATACAAGATGGAATTACATAAAAGATGTAGCAATTAAGAACTTTGCAAATTATAGCTTAGCCTTTAATGTCAGCACTTATTAATGATCTATAAGACTGCTTACATGAGTTCACTGGTCATTACAGGAGCTGTGTTGTGATGCAGAGTTTTCAACCCAAGACTTCTGCAATGTGAAGTTGTGGAGTTTTATGTCAGCCTGTTTTTGTATTAAAATTTATTGTTGCTAAATTTTTCAGAGAGAACTACAGACAATCCAGTTGGTTGCCTTTTCAACTGTGTTGATACCCAAGGATGGAAATTTGAGTTCTATCTTTGGTAATTTTTCTGTTTGTTTCCCAAGCAGAGATGCAGGGTTAGATTTGTACCTTCACAGTCCAGACAGAGGTGTCTGTAGGTGGGAGAAGCAGGAGTCCCACTGAAGTCTTGTGGGCTGTGTTTTTGTCAACAGCTGCTGGGGACCTCATCACCTCATCTGGTGACCCCAGAGCTCCCACTGACAGTCTTCCACTGATGAAGGGGAAAGCAGCAGCCCCTCAGGTAATTCCTACCCACAGTTCAGACAGTGGCCAGAACTAGTGGAAACATTTGTCCCTTGTATTGGAACAGAATAATCTCATGTGGAAGGGCCCTTGAGAGGTCAACTGGTCCAGTTTCAAGCTTGGAGCAGGTTTGGTCAGGCTGGGTACTGGTCCAGCCCTGCAGATCCCCAAGGATGGAGTGGCACGTTGTGTTATCCCAGCAGTGCTGAACTGCCCTGAGACTCTGGCACTGCATGTCCAGTAGGGCAGGAATTGGGAGATCATTCCCAGGGTGTGTGCTGATGACCTGTTTGGTTTGCCAGTCAGCCAGATGCTCCTTCCTTTTCACAGCAGCCTTTCTTTGTCTGAAATGGTATTTTGAAGTTCCATCTCTTGGGGCCTGTCAGCGTTAGGTTTTGTGCAGCCAATGTGAGGGGCTTTTTTTACCCTAGAGATGGGTCTGTGAAGTCTCTGGGAACATTTGAAGCTGATCTTAGTATCTGTATTTCATTCTTCTGACTGGCTACACTTTAAGGAAGAGTCTACCTGGGAATAAAAAATTCGTTTTCAGACCTGCTTTGCCTATCCAAAATAATCTGTTGTCTAGTATTTGATTTTCATTTTTAAAAAGAAAAGTTTAATAACCTAGCTCGGACAAAATGCCTCAAAATGCATGATATTACATCTAATAATGTGCAAATCAACTTGCCCTTTAAAGGAGTGATAGAAATCTAATGTAGATGTTAAATGGATAACTTCAAAGCTTTCATCTCAACATGGTATGTGACAAAACCTTACCCTATAAGTTTCTTTGTTTTTCTAAATAAATATTTCAAGCTATAAGGTGATTGTGTATTTTTTCCATATATTTCAAAATAAAGAAAAATGCTGACCATAACTGTGGTATGTTCTGTCATCCCTTTTGCTTATCAGTGAGAAGATTCCACATAGACCATAAATGAATTGTGTGACAAAGCAGTATTAGGGAGAAATTTCAAATTAAAGCTTGAAAGTCAGAATAAGCATTATAATTAATGTGTAAATAGGATTTATGCCATTATAAAATATATTATAATAGTGGCTGTTACAGTAATTTCAAGTCACTTATTGTTGTTGATCTCTGATTGTGTGATCCATGGATTTGTAACCTTTCTCAGAGTCTTGCATGTGTGTAGGGACTTTGTCCTAAATATGCAATTTTCCTTTTAAGAGAGAGGGAAATCAATAGTATGATGTTGTCTCAGTTGCTTTATATACTCCTCTGGCTTTTTTGGGAGCAGTTCAGTATTGCAGTTTTGGGACAGCATTGACTCAAAGTAAGAAAGGAACAGAACAGTGTGCAATCATGCATTTAAAATTTGTTCATAAGGAAAATGTTACCAGATTTTTATAATGGCTTGTCTTAGTTTAAACAAAATCTTTGAAACGTTTTACAGAGAACTGTGAATACTTTGGGTTTTCTTGCTTATTTTCAGATAAGATTTTTTTTTAATTTTGTAATTGCGTGAGTGTTTTTAATGAAGAGAAAAGGGAGAGGTTTTACATGAGGTTGAATATAGGAGGAAGAGTTGGACTCTTGGAATACTTTAAAATGGAGCTTGCACTTGGAGAACCCACGTTGTCTTCTTAAAAATCACACGTGTTGGAATGTTAAATTTACCCTGTGAGACTCAGAGTTTAATTCAGTCAAACCCAGAAGTATTTACTGAATCAGTAGAATTAGTACAGGCAAAATAATATATACCAAGAAACATGAAATTGTTAAATACTGTGCTCAGATGGAGAGGGAAGGATAGACAGTAATCATCGGTCTAGACGACCACTGGATGGCATCTTTGTTCCACAGAATGACTTCTGAAAACTCACTCCTTGGGCTTAAAAGTTCACTTTTATAGCAAATTGTTTGATGAGGGTGCCAGCCTTCCTTATGTATAAATGTGTTTGTTTCAGTATCTGAACCAAAGCTCATTTTCATGATGAGGTTCCTCAAAGTAAAAAAGTTTTGCTTGTCAGACTGAAAAAATCCTAGTCCCAGCTGTGATTAAAACATGGCTTACCTGTCTTCCATGTAGTACAAAACCAAAAGGATGTCTTCACAGATAGTGGGTTTCAAGGATGGAAGGAAATGATTCTGTGCAGGAGTTCCAGTGATGGTCTTTGTAGGGGCTGTTGCATTGGTTTTGATAATTTCACTGAAACCCTGGTTTGTGCCCAAATTAATGGTCTGTTTTTTATTTCAGTAAATATTTGCTTATTTCTGATATCGTTGCAGATTTTAAATAAAAATCGGAGCAGCTAAACTGCTGAGCAGGAGGAAGGTAAAAGATTGACTATACTTTCTTAATCTATTAAATAAAAGGAGAGATAAGTATAAATTCTTTTTAAAATTGTGTTCTTGAAGTTAAGACTGCTGTCTTGGCTTTTTTTTTTTTAAATTCTTCTATTTTGAAATTCTGGATTCAAGTCTGTTTTTCTGGAAAACAGAAAACTTCCTCTGTTTTACACAGTTCAGAGTTTGTGTTCTGATAACTACCGTGACAGGAGTTTGGTTTTGCCCTGGTTCGAGGCCTGTTGGATTTGGGCCTCGTGAGTCCAGGGGTGATTCTTGCTCTAGTTCAAGCACTGAGGTTTTTAACCCCACATTTTCACTTCTAGAATGATAAACTTCTGGCCTGGTCACTGAATATTGGGCTGTTAGTTGTCGTGTGGCCGAGTTGGTGTGCTGGGGGCAGTCCCTGGGCCTGTGGGACACGGCTGGAGTGGGAATGGGACAACTCCACGCGGAGCTGCAGTTCCTCGGGGTGGCCCTGGGACCCCCGTGTGAGCACCACGGACGTGCCATGGCTCGTGGAAGAGAGGACACCATCAGAGGGCTGGAGCAGCTCTGCTGGGAGGAAAGGCTGGGAGAGTTGGGATTGTTCAGCCTGGAGAAGAGAAGCTTCGGGGTGACCTGACTGTGGCCTTGCAGGGCCTGAAGGAGCTACAAGAAAGATGGAGAGACAGTATTTGCAAGAGCCTGGAGTGACAGAACAAATGGGAATGGCTTCACACTGACAGAGGGCAGAGTTAGATGGGATATTGGAAGAAATCCTTCCCTGTGAGGGTGGTGAGGCCCTGGCACAGGTTGCCCAGAGAGGTTGTGGACTCCCCGTCGCTGGAAGTGTCCAAGGCCAGGTTGGACGGGGCTTGGAGCAACCTGGGCTAGTGGAAGGTGTCCCTGCCCATGGCAGGGGGTGAGACTAAATGATCTCTAAGGTTCCTTCCAACCCAACCCATTCTGTAATTTTGCAACACTGTTCTTTGGAATTTCATTTTAAGAGAAGAAATGAAGTGCTTAACTCTGATGGACAATAATAGAAGCTCATTTGTGCAGCATTTTTCTGACAACCATTGTAAAATCTTCCATTTCCTTCCTCAAGTGTTCAGCACATTTCTGCAGGTTCACACCATCAAAAATCCCTTCTTGACTTCTTCCACAGAAGAAAACAAAACCAGTATCTGACAGACCACAGAAGTCTTCCACCAAACTTGGCTGCTCTAGTGCAGATAACAGGGAAAGTATGGGAAGACAGGGAGGACCTAGATTATGTATTTTGGGATTTCCCTCCTTTGATTCTCAGACCTTAATTGCAGCTTTTGGTTTTTAGTGTAGATGTTAAGCTTTTTACAAGTGACAAAGTATTCGAGGGTGCATAGGACAATATCTATGTAATTTAAAAAAAAAAAAGTTAAATTAAGCTTTTGTTTGTTTGCTTTATACAGTAGTAGGAGTCTGGACTTTTCCATATGTATATTCTGAAAGGTTGTGTAATCACTCATAGAATATGTTGAAATACAGTGTTTGTGTCAGTAATAGCCCAGAACAGAATGTGCTGAATACAGATGGCTGTTTCCACAGCTCTGAGTCATCCCTCATGGAGGGAGGAGGTGAAAGATGCTTGGGAGATACAGGTGTGGAAACTCACATTTATTGGTACTTTCTCAAGCTGTTGGGAAGGATATTCAGGGCCAAAAATGGCATGGGAAGTGCTATCCTCTTCTCAAATGCAGCTCAGTTTTCTAAAACTTGTTGACACATTCAGCTGATTTTTGTGTGTTGCCAGAGAAAATACCATCACATGCTCAAACTCACTTGGAACCCAGGCTTACCTGTGAACTCCTCATGGTCACAGAATCTTCCCTGGCTATTCCTGAAAATGCATCGGTGCCCATTTTGGTAGGAGCTTGTGGAACAGTGCAGGATTATAAATCCATGGTTTTGCTTTTAATTTCTCATGGGGGGGTATGTATTTTACCATTTTACTGCTAGCTTCCATTCTAAAGAGAACAGCCCAATGCTTTGTCGTTAGTGGTGATCGTTGCCTTGAGCTTCCTGACCATCCTGGTTTCATTGACACCACTGACTCTCAGGTGAAGACCCCTCTGTCACACCTCCTGTTAACAGTCAAATTGTCCTGCTCCTGAAGTTTTCCTGAGACAGTCAGAGAAATACTTAGTAATTTCTGAATCTAGAATATATCCTGTGAGAATGGAGACACCGATGGTTGGGCCTGAAGTTGGCCCAGCCCCTGGGCACGTGGTGGCTACTTTTGGAGCAGCAGATGGTCCACCAAGGGAATGTATTACATGCAGAATTATTTTTATTTGGCTTTCTTTGTTTCACTGCAGAGATGACGATGACATCAATGATGTTGCCTCTATGGCTGGTGTTAATCTTAATGAAGAAAGTGCCCGAATCATGGCCACCAACTCTGACTTGGTTGGAACCCAGATCCAGTCCTGTAAAGATGAACCCTTCCTTGCTGCTATACCTCTCCACAAACGCATACTTGACACGGGTGAGCACCACACCTTTCCTTCTGCTGGTGTTTCCTTCAGAGTTCTGTGCTTCTGAGTAACACAATAGGCTTAGCACTCAAGGTTGTTTGTAAGCATTTGATTACACAGTCTTGTATTGCTAAACTTTCAAGGTTTTTCTGATAAAAGTAACTTACCTTAAGTTGGAGGGAAAAAAAAAGCATGCTGGTACTTTTAAAATTCATGCTTTTCCCATGTTTTTTATATCCGAGGATCTCAAAGCTCTTTGCAAACATTAATTATTTCTCACAATCCTCCTTCATGTTTTGCACATGAGAAGATTGAAACAGAGAGGTAAAGTAAGTAGTACAGGTCACAGAGGACACCTGTGAATAACATCTAACAGAATGTTGAAGTTTCCCGTCCAGATTTTCTTGCCCCATACAAACCAGTTATTCAGTTCTTAACACCTGCATCTACTTAAGTTCACAGTGATTTTCTTATGGCATTTTTTCCAAAAGCTGTATTTATTGATCGTGGCAAAAAGGTGTATTTATTTATTTCTGCCATTTGAAAACAGAAGTTAAAAAATTTAGTAGAGTAGCTCTTCAAAATCAGTGATGTTTTAAGGTTAGGATGTATGCTTAGAATGTATTTTATATTACATACTTCATTAATATACTCTGTATGTTCTAATACCTAAAGGTGTATTTTTAAACATAATTTTGGTAATGTTTTCAGTGCCATCAGTGTCATCAGATACTAAGCTCAAATTATTTAGCAGTGTAAATCATATATTTCTATCAGACCTATGCTTACATCACAAATTTTTAGCAATCTATTTCTCGTAGTTTTAAAGATGAGACCAAAATCTTGTTGCAAATCAGTACAGTTATTTCTTTGAAGTCATGTGGTTGCTTCTGAAATGTTATTTGTGTTTATGTTCATTGAATTAACGGGAGCCTTTTTATATTGCAGTTGCAGGCAAGTTCTTCACTGACCTGTTGTCAGCCTTCACTCTTGTACTTCCCTAAATGCCCTTTTAAGTTCCCCTTTGGATTGTTTTGCTGTAGTTCTCAGTGGGATGATGGGATGAGGTGCTGTGCTCTGGGGAAGTGTGTGCAGCATTTTGTGAACTGCCTTCCCACCACCTGGGACTGGGAGCCAGCAAGGGCTTCATGGAAAGCGTTTGAGAAACTGGTGTGAGGGATCCTCACACAATAGTTGGTACAGGTGGAAGAAAACAGAAAGGGAACAGACATAAAACTGTTAAAAAAAACGGGAAATCAGTGATGAACTTGCCACATAAGCCTTAATGAGCTGTCTGGGTGTAACAATTGCTGCACAACATGAAGCTGTAATTACAAGTGCAGGACTTACAGGAATCTGTACATACTTCAAGAGCCACAGAACCCATCACACTATTCATCACTGCCTTTTGGGGTTTGCTCCTCTGAGGAACAAATCCCGATGGCTGTTTTTGAAGCTTTATTGGCTTTGATAATTGAAATGAAACTTTCAAAGCTTTTAAAAGCAGCTGCAGGGATTTACTTCTCAAAAGCAGTGAATCCAGAAGAGCGGCCACTCCTAGTGATCTCCTGCAGCCACTTTTAGAGCTTTATTTTGGCTTTACATGAAGCCTTTTATAGTTTTGAAAGTGGCTGTGGGGTTCACAAGTGGCTACTATCTGGGATCTATGGCTCTTGAGGAGAGAATTCCTTCAGCTGATTTTGAAGTTTTAGAAGCTTGGTTTTCACTGTGTGTGGCCAGATTTGTTGTTTGCTTAGGACCACACACAAATTTAGTAGTTTGTGCTACTGGGCACTTAAAATAACGACATTGTAAGTCCAGGACAAAGCTCAGTCTTGCCATATGTTGCTGTGCCTGGACACACCAGGACCAAGCAAAGCTCCTGTGACCTTCTCAAGCACGTTAGGAAAACGTGTTATGTGAGTCCTCATTCTCCTGTTTTCATTATGCCCGTTGACAAATGCAATAAAAACACATTGTTTCTTCTTACTTTTACCTGAATGTGATTTAAACAGATGTTATTTTCTACCTTTGGATCTATTCATATTTAATCACTTCAGTTTTAGGGCAGGTTTTTAATGTCTGAGTAAAAGAGAGATTTGTGGTGTGTACAGTATTAGGAAACCACTCTTCTCTCCTTTCTCAGAAGCCAGATCTTTCAAGTTTTCTGTAATATTAATCTCCTCCTCTCTTTTCTGAGTAAGAGCTCTGTCGAGCAACACAGTAGTGTTCCCCAAAGGCTGTTTCAGAGATTGTGCTTCCATTCACCAGAGTTGGAATATAAACTGCTAAAGTGAGAGCAGATGCTCTTCAGACTTTGGCAGTAACCACCAGCCAGATGCCTCAAAGTTATAGTGAAAGAGGTTTCTTAATATATTGTGTGTTCTTATCTCTGCTTTAACTTGGCACTGTTATCATCCAAAGTTTATTTTAAATCTAAGTGACTGATATTGATCCTTCTAAATGGAAGAAGTAACTGAAAGGTAATGCATGCAAAGATATTCATCCACTTCCCACATGCTTCCTTATCCAATTTTGTATCTAGTCATTTTGGGCTGGTAATCATTGCCATTTGTTCCTGTAGGAAGGCAGGGCTGTGACTGTTTCAAGTTTTTCTTTGATGCAAAATCAAGAGTGGGTATTTCTCAGCAGATAATGTATTTCTTTTGCTATTCCATTCAGGATCATAAAACTTTAAACCCTGATCTTTCTGCATGACAGCACAGCACAATGCAACATATGCAAAAAGGGTTGTAAGGCTTTTGTTTCTCTTTTTGGGAAGTTGAGAGGCAGAGGTTGATATTCATCATGCATGTGCATGCAAACTCTTAAACCTTCCTAGGTCTTTAACCTTGTTAGTAGAATGAGTAGTGTTTCTTTAGAGGGCAAACAAGCTGATTAGACCCTGACAAATAAACAATGCTGACAAATCCTGGCTTTTCCATGTGGTTTTGTCGGAATGAAATGAGAAAAATAACATTAATAATTTGTAATTGTTTCACTTTTGTTCATTATTAAGCTATAAAAATGCTGTATTAGGTTTTAGAAGCTAGTTTTTGGCATGGAGTTTTCACTGTTTACCAAATGGGGCATCACTCAATAAAGCAGGTTCTTTGAAGTGTGGTGGTTTTCTCTAGTTTGTAACCATCTTGGGAAATCCTTGGCTCAGGAATTACTTGATTCCAGTATTGTTTCTGAGCACAGATAAGAACTGGGCTGCACTGCATTTGATATTAAATATTAGTGAAAGGTAGCAGGACACAGCAAAGGATGGGATAACAGATGATCCTTTTTATTGTGCCTGATAACTAAATCTATGGAAAAGGGGAACAGCTCTGTCATGTACTTTTCTGGAAGGTCTTTTGACTGAGAGTTGGTGTCTCTAGAACCTTCACTCGGGGTTCCAAAAATCTTTGCTTTATATTTTGTTGTCACCAGAGCTTGGTGTTCTCACAGGCTTAAAATCTGCAGCAGCTTGTTAACTCCCACACCTTTTAATTCTGACTGATTTCTTCCACAGATGATGCCATTTTGATTTTGTTGAGTATCCCTAAAACACTCAACTTGGGGTGAATCTCTAACATAAATTAACTGTCCTAATGCAATACTAATGAAGCAGGAGTTTGGCATGCTGTATTCTTTGACTTAGATTGTTTCTTTCCCTTTTTCTCTTCATTTTCAGTGTTCTTTACCTGATCTTTCTGCTCCAGTTTTATTGTTACAGAGCACTGGATGAATAGAATAATTATAAATATGGCATTCTGAGAAATGTGAGACTGGTTTGGCCATATTGAAAACATTTTAACTGTCCACCCTTTATCTTCAAGTTATTTTAACTTAAATATGATTCAAAATTCATCGGAGAATCATCAATTATATCTTTATTTCACATTCATTCAGAGTATTATACATCTGCATTAAGAAATCAAATTTTCTGTAGCGTGATTTTACAAAATACTGTCTTTATGTTTGTTATCTAGCATTGTTATAAATTTCCTTTGGAAAAAGTCTGTCATCTTGATAACATAGCATACATCTGCAGTATTTCCTACCACAAACTTAGAACTGGATTGTCTTGCTTCATACAAATAGATTTTTAGGCTAGAACACACAGAGTGGTGCATGCCAGTTACTATGAAGCTTGAAAATGGGCTGATGAATCCAAAGTCTCCTAGTTCAGTAGTTAAGAGGCCTACAGTGTTCCTTAAAACAGTTCAGAGAAGCTTGGCTTGGCCACTGTCTCTATCAATGTAACAGTTGTAAGGTTAGCTCAACATAATTTGTAGATTCACCTTTTTGTTCTTTTACATGTAAAATATTTTTTATTTCTGTCTCATGAAATTTTGATCGTTGTCCTGCCTTGATTCTTTCTTTGTTCAGCCACACTTGAGTTGCATGTCTGCTGTAAAACTGCATGTTAAAACATACAGAAAGAGCTTATCTGTGTTTTCTGTGTTCTGGAGTGTATTGAATCTACCGTGTGGCATCACAGTGGCAGCAGTTGTATGCCTATGTATACATTTTAAATAAATAATTTGAATACTCTGGAAGGCATTTTACATTGCTAAACCATGTTAAAACCTATTGGGGTACCTTTGGTGGAACCAGGCCAGGAGATTTCAGAGCCTCTCTTTAAAGCATTTGTTACTGTTCTATCATCCCCCTTTCATGGGTTTGTTTGTCAACACTTGTATTCATGTTCCAGTGAGATGAAGCTGCTCTGTGGTTGCTCTTTCATATACAGAGCAGCTCTGACATTAAAGTGTGCTTATTTCTCTGGTTGCTTTACTTTAGAGGGCTTATATAGCTGCTTTTGTTGCAGTACTTGTGGGGTCTGAAATTCTGAGCTCTCTGGTTGCCTGGCAATGTAATTTTGTGTTTTCACTGCACTTTTTGTTGTTGTGACTTAGTAGTTTTCATTGCTGACTTTTAACTTTTTATCCATGAGTTGATTTGTCTTCAAACTGAAATATTCATTTTAATCCCATTTTTTCCACCAGCACCTTTCTGT